ACATGAAACAGTCTCCCAAACTCCCTTAAAATTCCCTTGCTGTCCTAAATCCCTTACTGGGATTTCTGAATGGACTATTTGATTATCCTACTCTATCCCTATCAGTATTATTTGACCTAATATATCACGTAGGAGGCTCCATCACGTCAGACATGCTCAGGATCTGACTAAACTAAAGAGAATGGTACAATGGCAAAGCATCAGTCTTTGTGTTAGAATGGAAACCACCACCCTAGTATCTTAACAGCTGATGGCAATGCCCAAAAAATCTGGGCTCTTCCTTCAATCCCATATTCTCTCCGTAGCTGCCAAACCAGATTGGTTATTTAAAACAAACAAACAAGTTTTGTTCATATAGAATGTGTCCATAAGAGTAACTCCCTTTCCTTATAGTATAAAAGCTCATTAAGTGAAATTTAGCTGCCATTTACAAAGAGTATATTTTTGAGCACCCTCTCATTGGCTGCTGGGAAAAGCAACTGTTAATAAACTAAGTGGGTAGAATCACTGCCCTGAGAGATTTTATTTTCTGAGAATGATCTGCAACCTCCTCTGCCCTAGAGTAAACAGGACTTTCAGAGGGAAGGTCCTGGGGCAACTTGTGGCTAAGACAGAATTGATTTGTTCTTGTGTTTAGGGTCATTGACTCTCATGAGAGCTACCACTTACCGAGTGTCCAGTTGGACACATGCCCTAAATATATTATTTCTGAACCTCACCATAGCCACATGAAGTTCTCTTACTCCCATTTTTTAGAGGAGAAGACTCTTCGGAAATTGCTCAGAACCTCAGAGCTTGTCAGTTTCCCACCAGTCTTCCTCCTGTGTCTTCCGTTCTATATCACCTAAACAAACAGTCATCCTCAAAGTTCCCTCCTTTCCTCATCCAATCTTACCATTCCTTTCTTGCTGATCTCCTCAGGGCTTGGAGGCCCGTGCTGGAAGGAAAGAAAGCCTGCATTTTCTAAAATTCATACTCACGATTTGAGCGGGGTCTGGACTAGGACCACCTCCTACCTCTGCTTTGTTGTTGTTGTTGACAGTTTATCAAAGTCTTTGCTTTACTTTTGTGCATTCAGTCCTGGATTTCTCATGTGTAGTTATGATAGATAGATTTTTTTGGAAATTTTTCTGCCTTAGAGTACAAATTTGGAATTTATGGAGGATACAACAGCTGCAAAATATAGCAGGAATTGAAAATACACAAAATCTTAATTTTCAGTCTCATTTACAGGCTTATACTCACCTGATTTTAGAACATCAAGATAGGTTACATGCATTGCTCATGTAAATAACCAGATTTTATTTAGAGAATGATAAAGGTAAAATGTAAAGAGGGAGAACATATTTTAAATGAGGTTTTTTTTTCAATTTTTGAAAAAAGGATTTTAGAAAACTTCTTTATTATTTCCTGAAATTTCATCTCCTTTAAGGGTAGATTTATAGCTATAAAAAATGACACCATGAAAACCTTTCTTTCGTAATCCTAATCATAGCAGATTATTGGCGATTATTATTTTTCCTAACTATTTGGTACTACAAAATAGATCACAGCTCTTCCTTTCAGAAAATGACATTTTTCACCTAGCTACTGTTGTGTCTCACCATCATAACCACTTTCATATCTGGCATATCTTAAATTGAATAAGTCCACAAATGACACAGCCTGGCTTAAGGGGGGAAAGAGGATCTGCATCAAATTCTGACCCTTGGCTGATTGTGTGTTTCTCCTGTAGAGTTTCTTTACACTGAAGAAAAAGCTCATTGCTATGAACTGCATGAACCCTCTGAACATTTTAGTGAAGTTGGGAGGCTTACGGTCACATTTCTTTGCATTTTCCCTTACTTTTCCTGCTTCTGAGTAAAAGAAACTCTATTCCTATGCTGGAACTTTCTGCTAATGGACCCCACTTTCTCTGCAGCCAGTTCTGGAGAGGACCGGAATCCCAGCCTGGAGGGAACAGCCAAGGCACAGGCAGACAACACATACTCAGTTCATTCAAACTTTGCTGCTGTTAATGTGATGGTGATTGTGATTTAGGAGCAAAGACTTCAAGGAGGACAGATCATCTGGCTGCAGGGATGGTTTCAGGCTTCTTGGCATAAGCTAATCACCTCGCTAACAGGTTACCTATAGAGTGTCTACAGTTCACTGAGGACACCACAGTCAGAGCTCAGTTGTTGTTATTTAGTTGTGAAATCATGTCTGATTCTTTGTGACCCTCTAGACTGTAGCCTGCCAGGCTTCTCTGTCCATGGGATTTTCCAGGCAAGAATACTGGAGTAGATTGCCATTTCCTCCTCCAGAGGATCTTCCCAGCCCAGGGATCGAACCCACGTCTCCTGCATCTCCTGAATTGGCAGGCAGATTCTTTACCACTGAGCTACCTGGGAATCTGTTAACCCATTTTATAATCTAAACCAGGTATGCATTGGATACTATCCAGTGGCAAAGAAAGGACAAGGAGGAAAGAGAGAAAAAGGACCATATGGTAGAATTTAGGAATAAAAACAAAGCAGGCACCCCAAAAGATGTTTTTTTCAGCAGTCAAAATATTTTCCTGTTTAGAGAATGAGTGTCTCCCTACTTAACTACAAATAACAAAAAATAAAATTAAATAAGATTAAAAGGCTAGCAGGGGCAAGGGAATCAGAATCAGGGACTCAGGCTCTTATCTTGAGAAAGGAAAGAGGCAAAGAGAAGAAGTTGAAAATGTCAGTGTTTGTTTGCTGAAATAAAAACAGACTTCAATAAGCATCCCTCAGAAACATGCCTTTTGTCTGATGCCAAAAACTTTTCGAAGGTTATCAGCTTTGCATCTCCCTACAGCCTGGAGGAATACTCCATAAAGTCCAGGGCATGGTATAATAGTGTTCTGTTTGCTTACTCTGGCAGGTGTGAGACAACTTTACTAAGTGATACCCTGATAGGGCCTGGGGCCAGCACTCTTTGAGCAGGAAAATGTAGTCTTTCTCTTGGACAATGTTTTCTCAACCTTCCTGCTCTCAGAGGGGCCTTGAGATGTCCACAGCAGGAATGTAAAGTTTGTCAGCATCCTTGGTCAGTTCCTGAAGTAGAGCTGAGCTACCTAAAATACTGCTCTGTCACTGGGGGGTCCCAGGGGAGAGTGAAAATTGTTGATAGGATTGAAGGGCTGGCTAGAGAAGTGGGCCCAATGTCATCTACAGTGCAGCACCCTGGACTCTGCTCCACCATCATCGAGGCAGGTCTCTGAAGCTGGTTTTCCCTCTCACCAGGGCAGGCAGCATTCCTTTGGTTCTCCAGCCTCTGTCCTCATGCCCTGGCCTGCCCAAGAAGCATCCGCAGGGCCAGATGCAGGTGTCAGTCGGAAAACCCAAGTGGGAAGGGAACCCTGAATCTTCCCTTCAGGGATCTTTGCCCCAGTTCACAAATGGACTAAGGCTCTGATCAGCGCTCGCTCATGACAGAGGATTCCCGAAGCAGGTGGATCTCTGCCACTGGCCCAGGAGGCTCAGAGATGGTGCCAGGTTAGTTGACTGGCTTACCATCAACCTCCACCCACACTTAGATCCCATAGGTCCATCTCTCCAGCCTCAGAAACTGAAAGGTGTGATGAGGGGCCGAGTGGCTGTGGTCACTAGTGACAGAAGAAGCCAAGCTGCTGAGCCATGGCGCCTGTGCAGACTCAGCAAGGGCAGAAGAATTGGGCAGTCATAATCATTCACCAGGGCCCTAGTCATTCACCTGAGTCAGTTGCTTCCAGTTCAGAGCCATGAGGGAACACTTCCGGGGGGACCAGGGGGAAGCCCAGCAGTTGATTGACCTGGGGACACAGCCAGAAGGGGAGGAGTTGGCCTTTGAGGCTGATTGAGTTCAAAGCAAGAAAAAAGAAAACTAAAAATGACTGTAGCTTCAAAAACACTCCCATTGAGCCTGTGAATCCCCCCAGGTCCTATAGCAAAGCTCACGAGTAGAACAAGCCTCACCCTCTTCCTTTCCCTCTTGTGACATTTTCTTTCTCATCGTGGCTGAAGTTCTTCAGTGCATCTATCTTGGACAAAAGAAAAGCAAAACATTGAGGTCAGAGGAAGGTGGTTCCCAAGGACTTAAACACCCAACCCTTGGACTCCATGACCTATTCTTGACAGGTGGTCTGTTAGTCTTTTTGCAAACATGCTCAGGGCAGGTGTTCCCTAGCCTTGTCTAGCTCCACCACCAGCCCGAAATGTGGGCGGACTGCTCACCTTGCTGACTTCCCCTGGTGGGAGGAAGAGATAGTATATGAGAAATGAGGGTATGAGGAGGTATTCCTCTCCAGGGCAGCAGTGGGCGGGGGCGGGGGCGGGGGGGNGGGAGTCTTTGGAGAATCCCTTCAAGGGTCTCAGTTCTCCTTAGACATCCCAAAATGTGTTTGTCCTCGTTGTCTGTGCGTGTTAAGTTTCTGGGCAGGCAGACAGTATGTGAAAGAGAACCTTTAAGAAAGTCAAACTATTCTCTCATTCCCTTTGTTTTTTCTCCATTGAGTTTCCTCTCTTCACTTCCTGCCCTTTCATCATCCTGCCACACTCTTGTCACCTCCCAGGATACGAATAGGCTTTTTGCTGCCTGTAGGATTGAGCCCAAACTCCTCAACATGGCCTTCTGTGGGGTGTAGGCTCAGTATGAGACCACCGAATGTGGCATGAGAGTGAGCCATTCTTTTGCCTTTGTTTCACAGGAGTTGATGAACTGCTTTTTCTGGAAACTTGAGGATTAATATTTTCTTTCAAAATCAACTTTGACTTTTTGCTTAGAACCTGTTAAAGACTGAGATCCTCTCTCCCACTCCCCACCCCCATCTCAACTCAGTAGAAACACATAAGCAAGCCTTCCCCTGACCCCATGCTCTTGACCCTTGGAACCTGCAGAGACAAAGTGTGCCTTCATGTTTTTCAGCAAGAAATTGTCTTGCCTGCCCTGTCCCCATAAATGAACAATGATTAACAACCCTGCGTACTTTAATACACAGATAAATTATTAACAGTGGGCTGTGCCTTTTCCCAGGTTGTAAAAAGGTGACTGGTTAGAGTCCCAACGTTCTATTTGTTGGGGGAGGAAATGTAGAGGGAATGTCATCTGAGGCCACTGGCCTCTGAGATACAAAACAAAGATGCAGCAGGCTCCAGCCCAGAGTGGGAGCCAGGTGACAGACGACAGGAAGGCCACAGGTGAGAGACTTTCAGCTCTCTTTGTCAGTTTTGAATCTTTTTCATTTTTCTCTTCTGCATTTGCGAATGGGCGGGAGGCATGCAATAGGATTAGGGTGTCAATGACTGCACAAAGTTCTTAAGGAAGAGTCTTGTTTTGAGGAGAGACAAGCAAGAAAGCGGCAAGTGAATATAAAGACCAACATGAAGGCCCCCTCTAGACCCTGGCTGTTCCAGGGAGAGAGTGTGGGCTGGCGTGGGGGCGAAGATCAAAAGGACAGTATGAGTATACAGCTGCTTGGTCACTTGACAGATCAGGCCTGGGGATGTGGGAAAGGGGAGCAAAAGATGATGAAGTCAGCATGCATTGCATTGATGGCAAGTTGGAAACATCTCCAGACCACTGGGGGGCAGAGGGAGGCCAGGCAGTGAACTGTGAAGACCCAGTGGAGCCCATACAAGTGAATCAAGAGAAATCTGGGTGATTTGGGCTGAAGTTTTGGGGTTTTACTTGTTTTTAACAGACTTCATTTTTAGATCTATCTAAGGTTTACATAAAAAAATCGCACAGAAAATACAGTGAATTCTCACATCCCTCCTTCCTTGACACATGGATTCCTCTGTTATTAACATCTTGCATTCAGTTCAGTTCAGTTCAGTTGCTCAGTCGTGTCCGACTCTTTTCGACCCCATGAATTGCAGCATGCCAGGCCTCCCTGTCCATCACCAACTCCTGGAGTTTATTCAAACTCATGTCCATTGACTGGATGATGCCATCCAGCCATCTCATCCTCTGTCACCCCCTTCTCCTCCTGCCCCCAATCCCTCCCAGCATCAGGGTCTTTTCCAGTGAATCAGCTCTTCGCATGAGGTGACCAAAGTACTGGAGTTTCAGCCTCAGCATCAGTCCTTCCAATGAACACCCAGAATTGATCTCCTGTAGGATGGACTGGTTGGATCTCCTTGCAGTCCAAGGGACTCTCAGGAGTCTTCTCCAACACTACAGTTCAAAAGTCTTGCATTAGTATGATGCAATTATTATAGTGATGAACCAGCATGGATACATGAGTATTAACTAAAGTCCATAGTTTACATTAGGGTTCACTCTTTGTATTGCGCAGGTCCATGATTTTGACAAATGCATAATGTCATGTATCCCCCGATACAATGTCATAGAGAATAGTTCCACTGCCCTAAAAATCCCCTGTGCTTCACCACGTCATCCCCACTCCTTTCCCCCAAGCCCCTGGCAACCAGTGATCTTTTTTACTCTCTCTATAGTTCTGTGTTTCCACATAGAATTTCCTCATATAGTTGGAACTCTACAGGCTGTAGTGTTTTCAGACTGGCTTCTTTCACCTAGTTTATATGCTGCCTGTCTTTTATTTCCTGCATGTCTTTTCATAGCGCAATAGCTCATTTCTTTTTGTTGTTGTTGTTCAGTTGCTAAATTGTTTCTGACTCTTTGTGACCCCATGGACTGCAGTCTGCTAGGCTCCTCTGTCTATGGAATTCTCCAGGCAAGAATCCTGGAGTGGGTTGCCATTTCCTTCTCCAGAGGATCTTCCCAGCACAAGGATTGAACCCATGTTTCCTCCATTGGCAGGCAGATTCTTTAGTGCTGAGCCGCCAGGGAAGCATTTTTACTTAGTGCTGAGTAATCTCACACTGTATGGATATACCACAGGACTTTTATTCATTTGGGGAGATAAAAGGCAGAAACAATGGAAAGGGTGAATGGCCAGAAAGCAGCGAGGTCCATGGGATGTCATAGAAAGAAGAAGGAGGAAGGTTTGAAGTGGGAAAATAAACATTAGTGCAGAGACCTAAGGTAGGTTCTCGAGACCAGTGCTTGGTAGGAGAAGCCAGCTCCCCATTTACCCCCACTAGGCCTTTCCTGTTCTTATAGACAGAAAGTTTGTGAAGGCAGGTTTCCTGTTCTTATAGACAGAAAGTTTGTGAAGGCAGGAACAGTGACCACATCATCCATCAGCCCAGTACAATGCAGACATCCAATAAATATTTGTTGAACACTTTCAACCTTCCAAGATCTTTCCTAAAGAGAAAATTTGCCCAGACACCAGGAGATCTGAAGCTCCTGAGGTCATCTCAAGCAGGTCTTCACTGCTCACTCTGCTGAGCCTTTTTTTTTTTTTAATTGCAGTGGGGCAAAACTTGCCTGGGATGTTCCCCTCCTCAACCAAGAACCCATTTCTCTTGTGAGATGTTCCATGTACAGAACCAGAGGCAAGCTGTAGGGAACCAGGAAAACCAAGGGAGCTTCAAGCTAACCTCACATCCCAGGTTAAAAAAAGGCACTCTCACCAAGGAATCAGAATCCAACTTTCCAAGCATTCATTTTTCAGCCCAATCACAATGCAGCAGAATTAGCCCAAATAATCGCTATGGAAACAGGAAGAGCAAGCAGAGGATTCAGGTGCTCACAAACAGCTGTGAGAGGAGATGAGCCAAACCCTCCAAATGTTCATATTTGAGGGGAGAGAAGGTCTGTGCCACACAGTAGCAGCTCATGTGTGGGCGCTGTTGGAGCCCAGCCCTGGGAGTGCAGCTTAGAGTCTGGGTGGAAGGGATGGTCCTCCAAGGGAACTGAAAAGTCAGCTCAGAAACTGCAGGGTCAGTAGCCATTCACCAGTCAAAATTCATCACATGGGTACTGGTCCCCAGGCAAAAGAGTTCACCAAGCAGACCTTTGTCTTGGGCAAGGTCACTGCTTAAAATAAGATCCTCTGCAGGGTGTGATACTTGCATTCCTTGATACCTGTATCACTTTCTCTCCTTGTGATGAAAGGGGTGAATGAATCCAGTAAGACAGTGAGGGTATTTTGCTTGGGATCTGTCCATATCCTGTTCATGCTCACCTGACTCAGACAGTCAGGACCAGGGTAGAGAACGCTTGAAAATTTCTCTTCTTCCTTCCTTCTTTCTTTCTTTTTTAATGTTTAAGAACTAGTTGTTTTATTTATTTATGCTGCACTGTGTGGCATGTGGGCTCTCAGTTCCCCAACCAGGGACCAAACCCATGCCCCTGCAGTGGAAGCATGGAGTCATAACCACAGGAAATCCAGAGAATTTCTTACCTGGGGGAAGGAATGTGGGCCACTTGGCCCGAAGCCTGTTTTGAACAGTGGGGCTCATCTGGAGACACACATTTTGCTCCCTGTCTGTTGGGGAGCTGAGGGTGAGGGTGGACAGTTAATCAGATGCAGAGGGTTGAGCTAGGGGCAGTGAGTGGGGTGAGGAGTAACTGCCTTCCCACCTTGAAGCCCCCTAAATGACAGTCCCTGAAGAAAGGGGACATACCCATGAGAGGGTGGCCCAGTATTGATTCTGTATGTTTCCAAGGCACCAGCCTTGAAGCCCCTTCAACCACGGGGCAGCAGAAGTGGCCCCAGCACCTCCATGTAGCCAGAAACACAGCAGGCAGGGGAGAGCCAGATGTCTGTCAGTGGCGGGGCAGCTGGTCCCGTCTGCTGAGCCTGGCTGGTCTCCAGGGCATTTCTTGCGCATGGGGCCTTCCCTGGTGACTCAAGCAGTAAAGAATCTGCCTGCAGTGCAGGAGACCCGGGTTCGATCCCTGGGCCAGGAAGATCCCCTGGAGAAGGGAATGGCTACCCACTCCAGTATTCTTGCCTGGAAAATTCCATGACAGAGGAGACTGGTGGGCTACAGCCCATGGGGTCGCAAAGAGTCAGACACAACTGAGCGACTAACAGACACACACACACACACACAGACACACACACACACACACACGCTCCCAGAGAACTACCACCAAGTTAGTTCTCTGATTCCAAATATTTCTACGAGAAAGATAGTACCTGTGTCTCACCATGATCCATCTCTTCTTTGAGGGCATCTACCATTTGGGTGCTCACCAACATGACATTTTCATTTCATTTTCTTGTTTATATGTGTTTGCCTTCATCAGAGGGACTGTGCCTGGAAGTATTAAGAGGCTTGTTACTCTGTCCTGGAACTGGGACTCCCTGCTGTCCTCCTCCCCCTCATACTTTTTCTCCCCAGCTTTCCAGAACACTCTTTAGACTTAACCTCCTTCTATCTTAGTCTAGGCCCTTTCTTCCCACTTACCCTGTATTTCTCAGCCACCCGCATTGGAGCATATTTAAATATCCACCCACAACAAAGGTAAAACCTCAGCAAGAGGTCCGGGCTTCCCAGAAAACAGAGTCGGGAAGAGCAGGGCACAGAGCTGAGAGTGGCACTAGATCCTTCACAAGAGACCCTGAATATCTGGGAACATGACAGGAGAGATACTCATGACAGAGTCCAGATCCTTGCCCTGGCTATAATATTAAACTATGATTGATTCATTTATTCACTTCTCAACAAATTATTTATTCTCTCAATAAATGTTTATTGAGCACCATTTATATAACAAGGTAGGTCTTAAAGATAAAGAGATAAATGAAAGTCCTTGTCCCTGAGAAACTAGTTGGTGACACAGGCACATGAACCAGTAATGGGGATAACAAGTGTGAAGAAGTTGGTAGTCCTGAAAGACCCCAGGGCAGTGGGTATGCATGAGATGGCCGGGGACCCATCTGAGCTGCTGTGGAAAGAATTTGTTAGGACTTAATGCCTGACCTGAGTCTTGAGGGTAAAATGTGGAGGAGGAGGGCCCCAGATGGCATGCTCCTGGCCAGAGGATCCCTGTGTGGGAGCAGAGGCACCTATAGGGCAGGTGGTATCAAGGAAACTAGGATGTGAAGTGGTCAGAACCCTGAGTGTGTGGCCTGGTGTCTGGGGGAGACCTGAGGCCAGAAGGCAGAGCAGCTCAGGATGGACTTTGAGGCCAGCAAGAAGGCTGAGGCTGCAGAAGATTACAGAAGAGATGTGCGATCAGATTCCCATTTACGGAAGGGCAGTCCTGGCTGAATGTGGTGATCAGTTCGGAAGGAGCAAGCCCAGAGGCCCAGGGAACACTGAGGAGGCTGCTGCAATAAAATCACCTGCAAATGGTGTTCCTCGGAAGCCCTGCTCCTCACTGTCCACCTCGGGCTTCCTGTCAGGGGAAGGCAAGCTGGCACAGCAGGCTTTCAGAAAAATAGCTCGTTTGTTATTTGTTCTGGTGCTGTCTGTGACTCTATTGCTTTCTTTTACAGTCTCTGTCATGTAAAATCAACATCATGTAAGTGTTTCCTCCTGATAAAAGCTAGCCTCCAGAACCGTGAGATTAGAAATAAATTTCTGTTGTGCAAGCCACTCAGTGTGTGGGGCTTTGGTGTGGCAGCCCGGCAGCCTATACACGTGGGCAGTATATTATAATGATCTTATGTTACCTGTGGAAACTGAGGCATAGAGAGTCAGTGTTTCCCCAGGGCAACACAGCTAAGCAGTGGCAAGCAGGTTGTTCCAGCATCTGTCTTCACAACTGCAGTGTTTAAAAATAATTCTGTCTTGGTCTTAACAGTTGAATGCTCGTCCTTTGAAATGAAGCTTAATTTGGGCATCAGTTCAGTTCAGTTCAGTTACTCAGTCATGTCTGACTCTTTGCAACCCCATGGAATGCACCTTGCCAGGCTTCCCTGTCCACCAACTCCCGGAGCTTGCTCAAACTCACGTCCATCGAGTCAGTGATGCCAACCAACCATCTCATCCTGTGTCGTCCCCTTCTCCTCCTACCTTCAACCTTTCCCAGTATCAGAGTCTTTTCCAGTAAGTCAGTTTTTCACATCAGGCGGCCATAGTCCTATTGTAAAGAGAAAGAAGCAGATGAACTCCTTGACAGTCCATGGTCTCTCCCTAGTGAAGCCATATTCCAGCCGACATAGGTCTGCCATCATGTGGTAGAGCAAGTGTCTTGACAATTGTGTCCCTGCTTGGAATCCAAGAGAAAACATACCCCCCAAAAAGGCTATGAAGATATACCGGGCAGCTGAGTCTCTGAGCCTGGCAATGGGCAAACACCCCCTTCTAATGTAACTAAGGAGACAAATTCTGGAATAAACTGCCTGCGCCTTGTGAGCTGTGTGGCTTTAGGGAGGCATTTGACTTCTCTATGCCTCAGTGTCCACATGTAACATGAGATCATTCTGTTTCTCAACTGTATTGACAGCTAAATATGGTCACTTTCTGAGTTACTGGGGTTTCAACATATGAATTTGATGGGGAGACAATTTAACCCATAACCCCACCTAAATAGATTCTTCAATGAAAATTAAATGAATTAGTGCCTGTAGAACAGTGCCTGGCACCTAGAGGCTCTCAATAATGCTAGATTATGCCAGGTATAAATTTAAACCTCCCAGGTGAGTGGATGGCAGGGTTGAAATTCAGCTGGTTTGCACCAGTGTGGCCTTACCAGTGATTCACGGCTTGTGTCTTTTTTGTCAGTCAGGGCTTCTAACCCACCAGGTTAGGGTTTTGGATAATCCTTCTGGCTAACAGGTACAAGATGAGAATGTGTAGGCTCAATGAGGTCTGTGCTTTTTCTTCCCTGTTCTCCAAGCTGTGCATACTGGACGATGCAACTAGCCCAGAGGGTGAATAAAGCAATTCCCATTTCTTTTAGAAAGGAACCAGGGAAGGCACTGTCTTCCTGATGAACCCATGGAAGGAAATTTCCCATTGCCAGTGATGCAGCCCTGGGGGCCAGGACCAGGCCAGCTTGCCAGCCTTGGAGATGAAGGTTGCTGAAGGGTGATCTACATGGGCCAACTCCAGGCCGCCTAAGGGAGCTGCTGACCTGAGTAAAGTGTTTGCTCACTTGAGTTCACCTAAGAATCAGCCCTTTAAAAATAAATAAGTTATGTTGATCTTTTGTGTGGATGGTTAAACAAATCTGGTGGCCCCAAATGAATTCCAGGTAAAGAAGCTGCTGAAATCTGCCAGAGCTGGGCCTAAAGGACCCAGTGGTCTCTCTAGAGCTTTCTGGGCATCGCCAGGTTCTTCTTCTTAGCAGGTGCCTTGACCTCTGTGGGAGACTGCCCCATGACTGCCCCAGCCAGGGATTAAGGAGATGGCATGGGCCTGGGAGAGAGGATAACTGACATGGGCCAAAGTCAAATGTAGCTGCTGAGAAAAAAGACTGGGGATATAGAGTTTCAGTGGCGGGCGATACCAGAAGGGTGGTTGTCCACAGAGAGGTTTTGAGAGGATGGACCTTGCCGTTGACTGTGACGTCCTACAACCCTCATCTTAGAAACATGTACACTGACCTCCAAGGCCAAGGCAAGGTCCCTCTCTCCTTCTTGACCTTCGAATTCGTGTCTCTTTTCACTAGGTAAACAGGAAAGCTTCTGCCTTCCAGTAGGAAAACCCTAGACTGGGAGGGGAGGACACCTGCTGGTTCTGTGGCCCCCCAGGCTCTGTGACCTTGGACAAGTGGTTTCACCTTTCTGGGCTGAGTTTCCTTTTCTGTTATTTGAGGGGCTTGGAGTCATGGAGTCTTCAGGTAAAAAAAAAAGATCTTGGAAATCCCATAGAGAAGGTAGAGAAGGCTGAGAAGTGAGCAGCTCATGGTCATTGAATTAACGAGGGACAGGAACCTAGGACTCTGGTATCATGACCCCCACCTGGGACCCATCTCATTAATGGCACTGATCCATCCTCTGTCTATAAAGTGTCAGACTGCTTATATTTACCCTGTAGAACAACCTTCTGAGATAGAAATTCTTATACCCATTTTATAGGTAAGGAAACTGACTTGACCAAGATCCCCAGCTACTGAGGAGTAAAGCTGGGACTCTGGTTTGGTGCCCTGCCACAGGCCACCTTGGGTGCCCTGGCACCAACCCCAGCAAGAGCAGGGGCCTGATTCTTGAGAGCTGCCAGGTCGGTCCCAGGAGTGGGACCAAGCAAGCAAGAATACTTGTTCTCAAAGCAGCAGAGAAGTCATAGCCATCTTCCCAGTGTGAAGCAGTTGGCAATGGATAGATGAGATTTTACAAAAATATTCCATATGTGATATTTGAAATAAGCTGTTTGATCAAAATGGAGCAAAAGGAATTAGCCAGGTCCACCCTAGGCTGTCTGCTTCAGTGAGGTTTTTATACTGACTGTCTTGACGGCACCCTATCATCCCTGACCTAAAGGGCCAGCTGCACCAGAGCAGGTGTTCCAAGGAGTGCCAGCACCCCTTGGAGTCTCAGGGAGAGCCGCTCCCTCTGAGTAAACTTCAGCCTCCATGGAGTATCAGCGCTTCCTCTGGGTAGAGAAGAGACACCCTCTGAGATCACTAAGACCTCTAAGATCTCTCCCTGGCGAGTCTAGATGAAGTTTAGTCTTGATGTTTGGCGGCTTGTTGTTGTTCGGTCACTAAGTCGTTTCTGACTCTTTGTGAGTTATTTGGACCCATTACACCAGCACCACCTGGTCATCATATAATGCACTAATCTGGTTGGGAAAAAATTCCTCGTGTTCCCAGTGTTCCGAACAGAAACAGATGCTGCAAACCATGCTGCAGCATGTTTTCAACTTCCCTGCCTAGGCTCTCAGAAGGGCCGACAGGCTGGTCTTAGCCCTGCAAAGACACCTGATCTAAGTGGAGACAGTTGTTTTTCAGCTGTGATAAGCCTTCACCTCTAGTTCTCAGCAGTGTGTATGTATAACAGAATTTCCGCCCTCTACCAGTGTGACTGCTGCAGTTAGGAGTCCCAGAGTTAATTATTGACAGCCAAAGAGATTCACAATGAGCCAGGACTTATGTGTTTTCTAGAAGCACATTTCCATGAAGATTTTGCCCCTATAGGATTCCTCCTCAGGCTCCAGGACAGACAGACAGACAAACATTGGGCCCTATCAGTTTAGTTAGAAGGCCCAAGCCTAAAACCTCGGGGAACTCACTTGGAAGATTTTTCTAGGAAAGCAACTTTTTGATTTGACATCTCAATGAAACAGGTGTTTTGGGAGAATATGCTGTGTGCTCAGTCATTTCAGTCATGTCCAACTCTTTGCAACCCCATGGACTATAGCCTGCCAGGCTCCTCTGTTCATGGAATTCTCCAGGCAAGAATACTGGAGTCGGTTGCCACTTTCTTCTCCAGGGTACCTTCCTGATCTAGGGATCAAACCCATGTCTCCTGCCTCTCCTGCATTGGCAGGTGGATTCTTGACCACTTGAGTCACCTGGGCTGTGTTGGGAGAATAAAATCACACTACCTTAGAAAGAACTGATTTGGCCTGATTTGGGGAGTACCTAAAGAGAACTTCATTCATAGGTCAAGATAATTCTAAATGATGGTAAGCCCTCAGGAGATTCCTTGGCTACTATACTCACCATGAAATGAACATGTCCTAGAATTTTGGTTGGAAGGGGTGTGGGAACTCATTTTGTCTTTTCTCAGTATATGGATGAGATGTGTGAAATAAAAGGAAGTTCAAGTCTAGAGATTAAGACTAATGGCTCATAGGTCAGTTTGCTTCCTGTCCAAGGGGATCTGAAAGCCAAGGGAGCTTTAGAATGACTTATGTAATAGTTGTTTCTCTAAAGTCCTTCAAGCAGTCCCTTGAACTTTTTTATGCAAAACAAAAGTTTCCTTTATTGATAAAATACAAAAGTGGACCTTGGCTTAACTCATACCAAAATATTATCATTCTGAACTCATAATAGCAACTATATTGCTGAGCACTTACTATGTGTAGCACTGTGCTAAACTGAGCCATGATAGTTGGGTGGCTTACCCCACCGGTGCCTCACAGATACTTGTGTTATTTGGAAGACTGAATAAACACATACAAAGTGCTTGGCATTCCACCACCCCATCTCACCTACAGCCTCAGTGTGTCCCTGCTTTGGCCAAGTAGAACCACCTCCTGTGAGGAAGGGAAGGAGGTCGTGTGCAGGCAGGGTTGACCTTACAGGTAGACCCCTGTGGGTGAGGGGCTCTGTGGTGTGATGGCCCCCAAGTCCATGTCTAATTGATTCCAGTCCACCCGGTTCTACTTTTTTTTTCCATCTGAGCATTTAACGGTGCCTCTGTTAAAAGCAAATACTCTTCTAAGAAGTAAGCTTTGAATCAGTCAACCATCATTAGAACTTCTTTTCCATCTTTCCCGGAATCTGAAAGAACAAGATTATATAAGTAAAGGCACAAGAAGAGGTCAAGCCCTTGATGCCTGAGAATTCATGCTGTAATAGATGGTTGTTTGACATTAGCTTAACGCACTCCAGAGTGACTTTCTCTCTGAGAATAAATTCAGGTCTTCTTGGGTTGCCTTCTTTCAGGTGGGAAAAATATTTTGAAAACTCTCATGTAACCCTGAATGAATGACTTGCTAAAAGCAGATGGCAGGGTCCTCCAAATAGCATACTTGTTTTGTTTTTCTCAGAGACTTATCAGTCTATAACCCTGAGATTTCAACACTCCAGTCAGTTCCAGGCTCTCTAAAATGAAATGGTCACATGCCCGCATGTGTGTCTACAGTTAATCACAAATGGACTAACCAAGGGCCAGGGTTTCATTTGAGCTCATAGTCCTTTTCCGTGTGTAAAATGAAAGGGAAAATGCATGGAGTCTAAGGGTTAGGAGTCTTAAGTCTTTTCTGTGTCCTGAACACTATTGGCCTAAATGAAGCAAATGTGATGAGCTCCATGGGAGAGAGACACAGGACCTGGGATCAGGTCACACTTTCTGGCTATGGAAGGCATGCCATAGACCTGCCAGCTTTAATATAGGACCTAAGGCTTAAAGGTAGGACATCTGAGATCCCTGCACCTAATTCTCTGATGGGCCTTTGACTCGGGGCATTGGCAACTCAGAGCGTGTCCAGTAGGAGGCAACAAGGAAGCAGATTGGTGAACCAGAGAAATATGAGAAAAAAAATGAGATTTTGTTTTCTGTAGAAGAGAAAGCCCCAGAGGAATGGGGTGGCTGTCTGCTCTTTAATGTGTTCATATAGAAGAGGAAGAAGGGGCATTTTTCTTTGTTCCAAATGTGAAAAGTAGTACCAGTGGAAGAAGACTATAGGATACCCAGGTTTTTCTAGCAATTGGAGCTGTCTTCAGTGCCCAAACACTACAGGTTGGTGCCATTCTTGGTGCTTCATGTGTTGATTCTGTGGCTGAAGGAGGAGACATGAGTAGTGGAGGCTAAAGCGGGATGATTTCCCTTCAATGGGAGATTGGACTAGAGATTTACTTACACTAAGTCACTTCAGTCATACTCTTTGCAACCCGGTGGACTGTAGCCCACCAGGCTCCTCTGTTCATGGAATTCTCCAGTCAAGAATACTGGAGTGGGTCGCCATGCCCTGCTCCAGGGGATCTTCCCAACCCACGGATTGAACCCACGTCCCTTATGTCTCCTGTATTAGTAGGTGGGTTCTTGACCACTAGCGCCACTTGGGAAGCCCAGGTTGTTGCTAGTTGTAAAGAGAATAGTTGTATGATGCTTTTAAGTGATGAGCAATAAAGGTGGGTTTTCTGTATTCCACAAAGTAAATAATTCACTTTCTCATATGAACTATTTCATGCCTGGAAAGTCTGAGAAACAGGAAAGCTCAGAAGTTCACAGGGTATTTTTAAAATCCTCTCTCGAAGGCCATCAGATCACAGAAGTCAGTGCCCAGTGTGGGTGAGGGCCTGGCCTATAAAAGCAGAGCCCACAAGTGTTCAAACCCTGCCTTTGCCCTCATTATACTCCGTGAACTTGGATGGGCTCCCTTGACGTATGCCTTCACTCCTGCAGCTGTAAGGTGAAAAGTTTAACCCTTGCCTTCCACTCCCATTGTGAGCCTGAAGTCAGTGAACGTACCTAAAACATGAGAACTGTGCCAGGTACATAGTGAGCATGCAGTAAAGGTTAGTGCTTATTAG